AGCTCTTCCGACCTCTCAAGTGGTTGGGTGCGTTAAAGTAGTGAGGATGTTGCCCTGACGTAGCTCGTGAGTAGTGAAGATGTTCACGGAGTGACTCTTAAGGTAAGACAATCGTCAACAAAACGCACTAAGCCGGCTTGAATACGGCACATGGACTGCGTAAGAGCATACCAGCTGAGTTATAAGGACATGGTGAAGGAACATTGCTAGCCATTTGGACCATCGGGAATCGAACACCGAACTGCAAAAAAAAAAAAAAAGCATCACTGTCCCGACCAGTCCAAGTGAACCTATGAAGTGTGAGTGTGGATGGTGTCTATGGAACCCATTGAGTCACGGGGGGGGGGGGGGGGCCTGACCTTAACAGCAATGATGCAACTAATAACAACTCCACAAAGGCCGTGATGAAGGTTCGAACCATACGCACGGGATGTTTCCAGATGCGTCTTAGTCAACTGTACATCCCGTGCGTAGGTTCGAACCCTTATCACGGCCCTTGTGGATGTGTTCATTTGATATATCATGCTATTGTGACTTCTGTGTGTATGTAACTATTACAATCCATCCACGTTGTACAGTTGTCGTCGTTCTCGACTCATAAACGGCAATCCCCGGCGGGAAAGAAATGATTGGGCACGTTTTCTTTCACCTAATGCCTCGGTTCACCTATAATAGTAAATAGGTACCCGGGAGTTAGGCAACTGTTGCGGGGTTACATCCAGCAATTAGAACTTGGGGAACCTCGATATACAAATCTAAAGTACGCAATTGACGATCACGAAACACTGATCATTTGTATGCGGAAAATCCACAGAGAAATTGGAAAGGAATATGAACGTTTCGGCCGCTTTACAGCCGTTGTCAACACCAGACTGATGTTGACAACGGCTGTAAAGCGGCCGAAACGTTCATCTTCCTTTCCAATTTCTTTGTGGATTTTTCACAAATCTAAAGTATATATGTTCACAGGCTTCCTGTCCTCAACAAAACGAAAACGAATTATATTTTGCAGTTGCCAAGAGTCACAGATTGTTGCAATCCCGAAAAGTACACATTTATATGAATGACACTGTACAGCCCCACGAAAGAAAATGAAGTCAAGAGCCTAATCTAACCAATATCATTATATGGTACGTATATGGTTCCCCCCCTTATGGTTTCCCATAGTCAGGGACATCCAGGTACTCCCTAGAACAACCACAGAACTTCCCCCAGGATGCAACCTAGGCTAGGAAGGTTAGATTTGGTCAGGTTGTTGCTTATAATAGGTCTAGGGGAGGTTATTTTAGATTGATAGTTGGGTGGTTGCATTTTGTCTATGCCCTAAAGAATACCATTACTACAGAGCGTGGACATTATCTTGTGCGCCACAAGACCCATGTCTCTTTATGTACTATTTTCAGAGGCTGGGGGTACCTAATGAGCCCATCCACAGGGAATAATGAAGGGAGAGAAGCTGCGTATGGGTCCCTGTTCTCCATCCGGGCAAGGCCAGCTACCTCAGCTACCCTAGGCTATAACAGACACTTGTACGCCCAACCTCGGTTTATCATCGTCATCTTCATTCTTCCTTCTATATTTAGCTGCAGATGACCCCGATACTAGGAACAAGTTGGGGGAGGAGGGTGGGGGGGGGGGGAAAGGGGGGGGGGGGGGTCAGCGTGTCTGGAGATCCTCAAGCGTGACTGACAATGCATCAGTCTGCACCAAACAGCAACAACGTCGCTATTATCAGACCACAAATAGACGGCACCAGAAGGCTCAAACAAGGTGACCTGCGTTGATAATGAGCTCTTTAGTCCCTCCACGAGGACACGGGCCGGATTTGTCGTCCATGTGCAGAGGGAGTAGTGTGTGTGGAAGAGTAGAGGCCGCGGTGTGTGTGGAGTAGAGGGAATAGTGTGTGGAGGAGTGGGAGTAAGAACATAGAAGCAGGAAATACAAATGAGTTCAAGAAATATCAGGAAATACGATTGTCCTGCACAGTTGCTCAACAAGTGGAAAGGAGTTGTGGAAGCCGCCTCCATCCACCACTACGAGGCTATTCACAAAAAATCGAACGTCGGGAAAGTTGAATTAACGCAACAGATACGACAAGACTAGTATGAACCTGGGATAAAGAGCTAAACTTCACTTCCCATAATCACTGATAGGTAAGTGTGTGACGGCCGGGGAGTAGAGGACACACTGTGTAGAGAGGGGAGGGGGGGGCATACGACCCCCAGCCCCCCAACACCCCAGGCGAGGGGGTCACCACAACACAAGACCGTCCAATGTTTACCCTCGTGAGGGAGGTCTTGTTGGTTAGCCTTATGTCAGCTTCCTTTAAAATCTGGGTACTACTTTTAGTTACAGTGTTGAGTTGTTGTTCATCCCTAAGAAGAATGAGAGCCCGTGATTTTTTTTACTTAGCGGTTTCAGACCAAACTGGACTTTAATGTTGTGTACAGATAAATAGTTTATTAACTTTTAGAAATCCTGACTATTTCTCGATACTAGACAAATAACATTCCATATGCCTCTAACTTTAGACAGTATTCCAGGCCCTAATAACTGTAGGTAATATTCAAGGTCTTAACAAGACCCCCTGCTACTTGATCAAGTTTGATAGCTTCTCCATTTTTTTCTGGAGTTATGTTAATTAAGAATCTACACGTACACGTGCCAATCTACTGAAGATTGAGAGGCGGGATCCAAGAGTTGAAACTCATCCACCCCAAGCACAACTAAGCGAGAATCACGGGGAATGTACGTGCATGAGAACACGTGCACAGACGCACTCACTCAGACACATCAGCAGTATAACATAACGGAAGCATATGACAAACAAGCCAACGTCCGGATAGCCTTCAGGATCTTGTATATAACTTTCGGAAGGAGTCTTCGTACATCCTACATGAGACCCATTCCTGAATATGCTGGCCCGGCATGGCTCAACCACCTTAAGAAACAAAATACCGTAAAGCATGCAACAAGAAACAATTGATTTGTGGGGAGTGAACAAGGCTGAAAGAACTGGACCTCGTCACACTGGAGGAAACAAAGATCATGGTAGACATGATAACAATATTCAAGATCACTATGGAGTCAAGATATTCATTATGGAGTCTTAAATTGCATTCACTGGAAAGGCGAAGAGTTAGAGGTGACACGATAGAGGTTTACAAGTGGATGAATGGACACAACAAAGGGGATATTAATGGAGTATTAAAAGTATCAACACAAGACAGAACGCGAAACAATGGGTATAAATTGGATAAGTTTAGATTTAGGAAAGACTTGGGTAAATACTGGTTCGGTAACAGGGTTGTTGATTTGTGTAACCAATTACCACGAAACGTAGTGGAGGTGGGGTCCCTCGATTGTTTCAAGCGTGGGTTGAGGTGGGGTCCCTCAATTGTTTCAAGCGTGGGTTGGACATGTATATGAGTGGGATTGGGTGGTTATAAGGGGGCGGTATTCGGGTACAGTAAATTTGTTGTTCAGTGTCAACCATTATTTTTGACTAGTTGTATATGAAAAGGGCTGCAATTGTTCTAAGTTTCAGTACTGTAGCCTAAACAGTAAGCGAGATTTTTTATTTTTTTCAACGAATTTTATACATTTTCAAGTGTAAGTTTACAACCACACCTTTCAGATATAATCATTCTATGACACTTTTCTGACACATTAACATATAATAAAGGATCTCTTGCAAGGGATTTTCCAAAACGTCTTTAGTTTTCCTAATACAAATAGTTTGAGTTCCCCCCAAAAATTATGCAAACATATCATGTTTATTGCTATTATAAAGTCAATAAATGAACTCAAGATAAAAACGCTTGCTTAAGATTTTAGAGACATAAAATTTACATATAATGTGTAAGTTTCATGTAAATTGAATAAAAAATGAAAGAGATATTCATTTTCAAGTAACATAAACATTCAAGTAAGTAAAATATAAAGTCTAAGGTGCTGCCATCTGTGGCTGAGGTTGACATCAACCAATTTCCTCCAAAATTGGCACCCTTACAGACAGGCATATGTGCAGTCAGGTGTATAAGTTTCATGCAAATCGCCCTATAAACAAAAGAGAGATAAAATAAAAAAAAAAAGTAAAATTTGCCTTTTTTTTTTAACTAAATTTTTTTTTTAATAAAACTAATTATAAATTGTTTTTAATATATGCTATTGTGATAGCTGAGAGTCATAGACATGATTTCAGTTGACATTTTTGTTTGATAATCGTTTTTGACCATTTTGGAAATTTTTTGAAACATAATTCAATATTTTTTTCTCCCTTCCTATTTATGCTACGATGCTGAGACTTGGACCAAATGAAACCCTTTTCATATACAACTTGTCAAAAAAGTTTGATTGAAATTGAACCAGTTTTCATTTATTGCATATTTTGGAAATACCGCCCCCTGGACATGTATATGAGTGGGATTGGGGGGGTTATAAATAGGAGCTGCATCGTATGGGCCAATAGGCTTTCTGCAGTTACCTTTGTTCTTATGTTCTTATCACAAAAACATCCCATTAACGTGATATATATCAATGAGAAAATCCACTAGGGCAAAGAGATCTATTTGTAGAGTATGGGGTTTGACAATGCCTTGGTCGTAGGTTCGCTCCCACCTCATAGCCTAGTGGATTTTCTCAATATTCAAGATTCTAAAACAAAATGACCAGGTAGACAAAGTCCAATGTTCAGAACGAGGAACGGCAGAACGAAGGACATGGATGGGAAACGAGACACAAATAAAACACAGAAATACCCGAAGAATTTTTGTCAGCATATGGGTTGTAAATAAGTGGAATGGATTAAATGAGGCTATAGATACTAACTGACAGTTATATGTAATGTTAAGGACTAACGCTTTACCCAAGAAGTACATCTAGGTGAGTACATCTAAGTATATGAGCATAAAATAGCCTTAAAAATATACTACCACATTTCATCGACCAATTGTATGAAACACAACCCAGTCTTTATTTACTTTCGCTTGAGACCTTACCTGGGTAACGAGGCTGCACCGTGCTGCTGAGGTCCTCCTCCAACCAGGAGTACTGCACCTCTGGAGAGTGAGGCGACCTGTGAGGTAGAATAGATATTCCTGAGAGAGCGTGAAGGAGCCAGTGTCCCGCCACCAGCACTCCTCAACACAGACTAACCCCCACAGCACGCCACCCCTACCACTAAACTTAAGAAACTCCTTTACTCTCCACTACAAGAGGAGCCACACATCTATGGATCATCCAATAAAATCAGCAGACTTCTAGATGTTACTACTGCTCGGCTTAGACTCGGTTACAAGTATCTCTGGGAATTCTCATTATCTGCTGATGTAGACCTGACCAAATGTAAACTGTGTCAACAAAATTATTCGCACACCCTCCGTCACTATGTGATGGAGTGCAAAAAGATACGTGAATTTAGAGACAATTCTATAACCAATGTTCCAGCGATGTGTAAATATTTCATTCAAAATGATCTACTACCAGAAATTTTAGCTAAATATCCCCAGTTTGCTAACTGTAGGTAGTAACTGAGTGATTGTAACCTATCCACCGCTGCCCACTGGATTGGGGGCGGTGTGCAGGACAAACATAAATTTTGACACTAGCTCTCCACATATGTCAGTTGCTTAATTTAGAACCTGTACTTGAGGTCAATCTCGAACCCATTGTTGATGTGACGACTTATATTGAATTTTGCATGTAAAAATGTATGAATGCATCTGTGGGGTCGACCGCTGGATGTAATGGACTTGAGTTGAGGACGGGTTGTACCAGGACTTGAATCGGTATGCTTGTATAATTACTACAAATACAAATAATCGCCAACAGAACCTAAACACCTAACCTAATCTATGCCTATATATATATGCACAATAAGCTAATATATTATAATATTAATTTATATTTGAAAAAAATCCTGTTTTGAATGAACAGCATGTAAAAATTTATAATGCGTCTGTGGGGTCGACCGCTGGATGTAATGGACTTGAGTCGAGGCCTTTGAAGAAACTGCAAAGTTTATATTTATTTATTTATTTATGCATATACAAGAATGTACATAAGGAATGTGAGGATACAAATATTGTAATTACAGTCTTGTAAAGCCACTAGCACGCGCAGCGTTTCGGGCAGGTCCTTAATCTAAGAAAATTTTAAGGAGGTAAATACTTGCAAAATTTATAGACAAAAAAATGATAACAGATTACATGGAATGAAAAAAAAAGAAGATGAGAGAAAATTATAGGTACAGTATATTAAAGCACATAGGTAGCTATGATTGATTGCAATGACAGCTTAAAATGGTAGTTGACAACAAATTGGTAGGCACAATACAGCAGAAACAATATAAGATTGATTGCAATATATAGTATGCAACAAGTGTAAGATAAGACAAAATGAATATTGAAATGTTGCAGGATATAATTTTAACGGGCAATTATAATTGATTTACTGAATATTTCGACAATTTTGAGTTGGTTAGTTTAGTTCATTTATTATGCACCCCATACCCATCTTGTGGGCGGTAGTGGAAAGGGTTACAGAGGCACATAATGGGCTCAGGGACTGAACCCCACGATTCATTTAGCTAAGAAAGTTACAATCTTGATGAGTTAGTTACAAAATTCAGTATAAAGACACAAAATATTGGACTGCTGCTGGTGCCGCTGCCGCCATAATAACAAAGCCTACCCTCTACTACAGGAGTTTTCTGTGGTGTCGCGTTTTCTCTTGTGTTGTCCTCCACAGCCAAGATGGCCGCCTTCACACGGCTCGCTACATCTGCGCTCCGGCTCAACAATGGCTTATTTAGACCCAACGCTGTCAGGGTCGTGGGCATTTCCACATCCAAGAAGAATAAGGACACCATAACCATCGCGGATACCCTGGTTGAGCAGGAGAAAAGCAAGACGGAGACCGCAGTTCCCACTAGCAAGGTTGGTGGGGGTTACGGTTTCACTTGTTTGGGGACAGGAAGCCTGTGTATATATATACACACCGTAGGCTTGTATTGACGTCTCCCCAAAGTCGAACTACTGACCTCTAGGATGCAGTCCACAGACATTGCATAACTCTGGTGCCAATTTCCTGCTAGGTGAACAGCGGCATTAGGTGAAAGGAAACATGTCCAACCATTTCACGGGATTTATTTATTTATTTATTTATATACAAGAAGGTACATTGGGTTTGTGAGAATACATAGCATAGTACAGTAATTACAATCTTGTAAAGCCACTAGTACGCGCAGCGTTTCGGGCAGGTCCTTAATCTAACAGATAATTTTAAGTAGGTAAATTCTATCAGAATTAATAAAATGATAACAAATACATTGCAAGAAAAAAAAATGAGATGAGAGAGATTAGTAAGTATATTAAAGCACATTGGTATATTAAAGCTCTGATTGATTACATTGACAGCTTGACTGGTAATTTAAACAAGATTAATAGACATCATACAGCAGATTGACAGCACATATAAGAAGACAGCAATGATCGCAATGATAAAGATGTTCAGATTGGGTACAAAGATTGGGAGATTGGGTAGCAATAGATACAGTGCAGTTTTAAAGCAAAAGGTAAAAAACTATGAAGATGAAATTAGGTACTTTTTAGTATTGTTTTTGAATGACGCAAAAGTTGGACAGCTTTTCAATTCAATAGGGAGTGAGTTCCATAGACTGGGTCCCTTTATTTGCATAGAGTGTTTACACAGATTAAGTTTGACTCTGGGGATATCAAAGAGATATTTATTTCTGGTGTGGTGATAATGGGTCCTATTACATCTGTCCAGGGAGAGTTTCAGAGCAGGATTTGCATTTAAGAACAGGGTTTTGTAAATGTAGTTGACACAAGAGAATTTGTGGAGTGAGATTATGTTTAGCATGTTTAGGGAGTTAAACAAGGGGGCTGAGTGTTGTCTGAAAGCAGAATTTGATATTATTCTGATAGCAGATTTTTGCTGAGTGATGATGGACTTGAGGTGGTTTGCAGTGGTTGAACCCCATGCACAGATACCATAATTAAGATAGGGATAGATTAGTGCATAATATAGAGAGATGAGAGCAGAGTTAGGTACATAATATCTGATTTTGGAGAGTATACCAACTGTTTGAGACTTTCTTAGTTATGGATTGGAACCCAGGAGCCTTGATTGTGAAGCCAACTGTACTATGATTGTCTGCCAATGGATCATTAAAATGTGTTGCGTATATGATTGTAACTCAAGCGTATTGTGGGGTTTTGATGCTTAATACTGTATAGTGTTGGTTAGTGTCATGTCGGGAATGTAACGCCGTGTGGTGATAGCCGAGACAAGGATGGTGGTGTGAGGCCGGGAGCTTGAGCATGACCTGGTTGGTGGGTAGAGAGCTCAAAGGAGGGCCAGAGTGTAGAGCTCAAACGAGGGTGGGATTGCAGAGCTGGAATGTGGCGCGAGAACAAGTAGCTTGCTCGTACGAGGCCAGAATTGCTGTAGTGCTCTGTGGCGAGGCTGTAGCGCTCTGTGGCGAGGCTGTAGCACTTTCTGAGACTCAGCGTGCGGTGGTGAATGTCATCGATGTCGGAGAAGGTCTACGGTATATCCCGAGCGTTTGTCACTAAACACAACTATTGGAGTTACTGTCGACTCTTATGGATGCATGAAGATTAAGCCACCCAAGAGGTGGCACGGGCATGAATAGCCCGTAAATATCAACTTATGTTTGTGTTCGGCATATAGCCTCGCTTCCCCTCTCGCCTCCTGTTGGACATAATGCTTCGGGCAAGTTGATCATCATATTGTTTGCCGGGAAACTTGGTTACTTTTGGCTGTTCTAAGTGATTAATGGAAACCTTGGGAACAAACCTTGGGAACAAGCCTTGGGAAACCTTGGGAAACCTAGGGAAACCTTGGGAACAAGCATTAATTTGTAATTAGTACACAGTATTGGTTTTGCAAATACATGTTGCAAATTATTGGAGAACCTTTAAATGTTTATTGTAGAACTTCTTGGAATGTGAAATTCTTAGGGATAAGTTTTTGTGGGATTAATTAATGAAAACATTTAATTGCCTGCAGTGGAACTTTGAGAACTTGGAATAACTACAGTACAGTATGTAGTTATAGCCGAGACACTACTCGGCTATACGTATTGCTTCTTAAAATAGTTTTTTAAAGTGTATCTTAACAAATCCAATTAAATTGTCCATTTATTAATTTTAGTTTATTTATATATGAAAAGGTACATTTATTTATTTATTTATATACAAGAAAGTACATTGGGGGGTTAAGAGAGTACATAGTAATGATGTTGATTTTACATTCTTGTAAAGCCACTAGCACGCATAGCGTTTTGGGCGCAAACATTGGGTTTGTGAGAGTACATAACATTGGTGTTCTTACATTCTTGCAAAACCACAAACACAAACAACATTTTGGGCAGATTTTCATAAATGTTAGTACATTTATAATTGGGAAAGTGTACATAAAAAGTACATTTCATTACTGTAAATTACACAAGTGTCAACAAACAAATCCACATGGGCCGTGACGAGGATTCAAACCTGCGTTCAAGAGCATCCCAGACGCTGTCTTAATCGACTGAGCTACGACATGGTCAAAAGAGTTGAAACCGAAGTTCTACTGAACTTACTGGATCCTGCAGCCTCTCCGAGACACAAACCTGGGTTTTACACAACTCCCTTCCCCAAATCCTGTGGATTTGTTTATTTGATGCATCACGCTATTGTGATTTCTGTGTGTAACAAAAGTGTCACAATAATTGAATAGGAAGTAAGCATTGTCGTTATCAGAATCTGAAACTTAATTGGTACAGTAACATCTTAGACAAGTAATTGAAATGCTGGCTAGACGACACAGGTGTATACCAATCTAAATAAAAAATTACATATTAGGCATAAATTTAGTGACATTTAGCTAAGAATTAGAATGATGTACTGTCATGTATTGTGAAGACAGAATGTGTCACAATATTAGGATGCGACAATTAGCAGTAGAATTAATATAAACTATAATTACTCCATACACACACACACCAAACATAGATGGTCCACACACACACACAGATGGTAGAGGATGATGGCACAGCTTCTAAAGCATTATGTAAAAAAAAAAAAAAGTAGCACATGGTCCAGAATATATGTACTTACGTGCTTTACAGAAAAATGACCCATGCATTTCAAAAGGGTAAAGTGATATTGATCCAGAACATTGTCAAGTCATGATGCTTGTTAATAGTCCAGGATGAACTTTTCTCAAGACATGTCTTTGTGCTTGTGTGCCTCAGAACTTGCACTTGCTTTGAATAAAAATGGGCTTCCCAATTATTTTTGTTAAAAAGCTTCCTAATACCCCTAAACTGGATGCACAATTGAATCACATTAAAGTGATGTATCGATGAGAAAATCAGTAGGGGCCGTAATTTTTGAGGCAGCCTTAGGAAAGACGGGGATTATGGCATTAAAGCGAGTCTTCCTCCGCGACAAGGATTCGAACCTGCACCCTTGGTACTCCTAAGCTTATTTTTTTTTCTTTTAACTGAATGAATGGTGTCAGTCCAAATGATCATTGAACACTTAACACATGCTATTGTTTTTTTATAAAACTTCTATTGTACCCAACTACCTTTTGATGTATCCTTAATGAAATGGTTTCTCAAAATCTGTTCACCAGCACACAGTCCATAAGGCCTGCTCTACTAGTGGTCTCATACCTTAAGTCTGACTAATGTGATGCATCATAATTAATGACTTGCTATGAACTATATCATCTGTGACCTCATGCACCGGAGGTTTGTGGCTAACAGGCTTAACAGATTTAGACAACTCGCTTTTTTTGCAGAATATTAAAAATATATTTTGAGCATATTTTGCAAAAAATTTCATTATTATTTTCCCATATGGCAACATGGCATCAGTTTTATATAAATAAATTAAAAAAATTACTCCATGACTTTTTTTTTTTTGTTTCAGAATTGGATTAGTTGGGGATTCAGTTATGAATCTGAAACCGAGGACAACACACTTATGCACCTGTCCTTCCTGTTTGGCGTCACTCTTTGTTTAGTCACTACAGGCTTCTATTGGGCTTACCTCCCGGATTACAGGTTGGATTACTAAAATGTATTTAGCAGTTTAATTTCTAATTCATTCATTGCATTTTTTTTGTTTAGGTAAGCTGATTCTATTTATCAGGAATCAGTTGTATTACTAGTATAAGGGGCTTGTACATCATTTTTTTTGCCTTGTAGGTTATAGTACATAATATTTCTTTGAACTGCAGTATACTGCCTCTCACATTGGTATAGTGATCCTCTGTGTCAGGTCAGGATCACAGTAGTCTGACAGGACTATGTAGATTATAAGGTTCCCTTGTTGGGCCATATAGAGGTTCATTTTAGCTCCCAGAAATGGAATACAGTAAAGCTGGCAAAGATTACAGATAGACAGGATGGATCTCGAGCCCAGGGTAATTAAGCCCCACAAGACTACCAGTGGGAGTTCAAACTAGCCAATCCACCAATCAGAATACCACTGCCTTAGCTCACACCAGTTGGTAGAGCTTCTGATGTGAGCTAAAACCTCTCTTGGTAGATTTTCAGGCAGAGGCCAATTCTTGATCTAAGTGTTGAACTTTGTTGTTCATGGTGATTGTTGTGATGAGTATACATTTTACTGCATGTTAATTCTGTGAAGTGTTAAATTTTGGTCACTTGAATTTCCTGTACAAATGCTTATAACTAGATGACTTCTTAAAATTTTACTTGAGTTAGCATTTACCATTAGCTCACCAATAGTGGGGTGTGCGAGTCAGGCTCTTCCACACACTAGACACCTATGAGGACCTAAGTCTGCATTGAGATAGTGTTTATAGATGCTGAAGGATGTCAGAAAAGTCGGTAAAACAAAAAAGGAGGCCTGGTCGAGGACTGGGACGCTTAGCCCCGAAATCATGTTAGGATAACCTCAAGAAGCCTCTTTTATTGCCCTGTTGGGTGTTAGCTTTCACCTGCAAGCATACAAAATATGCAGTGTGTGAATACCCATGCTCCTCAACCCTCTGTTTAGGTGGGCTTTGTGAGATGCCTCTCACATGAGGGCTGGAGGTGGGAGGCATCTAAATGGGCTGGAGGTGAGAGGCAAGGTGGAGGTGTGTGAGAGGCACTCCACCTTGCATATAATTTAAAGCTAGTGTTAAAATAATATGCAAGGTTGAGGAGTTGAACAAGAGTTGGCTCTTATCTATAGAGTCTTTTGCTCTATCTATAGAGTCTTCTGCTCTCTACATCATTGATCTGACAGGTGAGCAGTAGGTTAGAACTGCTTACTGGAGATGGCATGTTCGAGAAGGTACCACGCTAACATGTCACTCCCGCTTTGCGAATTTTGTTTTGCGGCTGGCTTGTTTTTTGTGACCTTGGCATAGAAGAGCAAGAGCCAGGTTTCCATATGAAGACAGTGGGTGCAGATGTTCACTATTCAGACTAGAAGGTATATAAATATATTCTTGAAGGTTTTTGTAATCAAGTATCTTCATTTTTTTTTATCTGCAGTAGATGAAGATGAACTAGTTTTTTTTTTTTCCAACATCTGTGTTGGTGGCAGTAAAGGCTCGGTTAGATTTAAAGATGTTTTATCTTTGAATTACAGATTTGGCTGGTTGGAAAATACTGTAGTTGTTGTTGGATGTAAACTAAAGAGGGTTTTGTTTTCTACACACCTGGTGTGGGCAAGGGGTGCTGTTCAGTGTGTCTTTAAGGTTAGGCTAGTTTACCTGGTTGATGGGGTTCTGGGAGTTCTTGTACTCCCCAAGCCCGGCCCGAGGCCAGGCTTTGATCTCCCATTGATGGTCACATGCTTGACATTACAGTCTCGATTACCCTGCACACAACCCTCGATTTGCATGGGGGGGGGGGGGGTTAGCTTACAATCCTGTAAAATCTGTGTGAATCAAAAATGCCACAAATCAAACTTCTTATGTGGTTTTGAATTATAGAATGTATTGTCCTGGCCAGAGTGACTGACTGGTCGCTCAAACACTTCCACATGGTCGTTGAAGGGCACGGTAGTGGTACTATTGTACATGGGTGATTGTGTCACGGATTTGACTAGGCACTGAGAGGATCATTAAATTAAAACTGAGGGGCAGCATATCGTCATTTGAGGGCTTTTCTCAAGCTAAATATTTTTTTAATAATGCAAAAATCTAAATTTTGTGTATAGGGAACCAAGTTTTAAATTTTGTTTGCAAGCTTTATGTATTCTTCAGAGGCACATCTTCATTGATTTTGGACAGTAAACATCCAGTTTTGCTCTTTCGTTTTTTTTCATAAAGTAATATACAGTATAACTAGAAATATATTGCAGTCTCTTGCATTTCTCTCTTTAAGGAAACCTTAATTTAACTATCAACTTTTGCTGTACTCTAATAGCTGCCGACTCAACAGAACAAAATTTTAGTTTATAGGTCATTAATAAGTTTTTTTTAATATTACATACAATATCTTAATGCCTTCATTCTGATACCACTCTTTCCATTGCTTACTGGAAAAAAGTGGTATCACCTTGTTTCTAACTTAATGTTTCTTCTTCTCTTATTTACCCGGTATTTCCACCTCGTTTAAAATTGTTGAGTATAGTTGAGCTCATGGGTAAAAATGGGAATAAATCTGCCGCTGGATAGAAGGACATGTTTGCTTTTTTGGTAATCATTCAGTGTTGATTACAGAAAGTGAGAAAGTGCTTTGGAAGGTAGTTCCACCCAAGTGTGGTAATAGTGAAAAAGTATCCCTAGATATAATGGGCTGGAGATATATCTGTTGATTGGCTTTGATTAAAACAACTAATTCTCTTCCAGTTTAATTGTTTCATGAATTTAACTTCAGGATGGTGAATTGGGCACAGCGTGAGGCCTACTTGGAATTGCGTCGGCGGGAAGAACTAGGCCTCCCACTCATTGATCCCAACCTTATTGATGCTGAGAAGATGGATCTACCATCTGATGAAGATCTTGGCTCGACAGAGATCGTCATTTGAGTATATTTATATTGCAAGTTGAGTTAGGTATTATGGTGTGCCTATACATTAATTTATTTGCATTTGAAAATAATGTAATTAAAAATGGGAAATTTTTTGTTCTGGGTTTGTAAATAGAAATTTATTTAGAATAAATATACCGCGTGTTTCTTGAACATTTTATTTTCTTCAATCCTAGAACATTGTATAGTGTACAGTTACATAGAATTAATAGAATTGATGTTGTAATAGTTTTGACCATAGTATACTTATGTTGAATGCTCTTGAGATGGCAGCATCTGGTTAGGCAGTTTGTCGTATATCCGAAATAGTAGTACACTGTACTGTAGTCTTAAGTGCACAATTTATTAACCTTCTTCAAATGCACTCAAATGTTTTGTATATAATCTACATGGTAAATGCTCCAACTTTTCCTAATGGATTAACATCATAACATGAACAGAAAATAAAATAAAATAAATATTTAAAAAATTGAAAAATTTCACAATTTCAAATTAGAATATTTTATTTAAAATGTCACTAATTTTTTTTATTCATTATGGGCTCAGAATGGCATATAATGTTCATTTTCACTGAGATAAAATTTAGTTTGAGTATAGTTTACTGTAAAGAAAATAGTCAAATACTGTATGAGCAAAATTCAGACGTAAAAATGTATAACTCCCAAAGTTATGGGTTTATGAATAAACGCCCTCAAGGAAACCTTAGAACTAATTACTTTGCATATACTGTATGTAAAAATGGTGAGAATTGCTGAGAAACTGAATTTTTTTCTCGGTCTCAAAGTTGAAAATCCTGTTCATACAAAAAAAATGAAGGTAAACTTCTCGACAATAAATATAGTAGTTTGAATTGATGTCTTATCTCGTAAGTTTTAATAAATATTGCTTGGCATTCGTACTCGAATATGTGAAAGCTGTAAGTCAATGTGTGTTGAAATGAAGTTGAGAAAAAATAACCCTTCCCCCCCCCCCAAAAAAAAAAAATAGGGATAATTATAATGGGCTTAGGGGATATATAAGTATAATTTATATGAGTGATAAAGCCCTCATCTGGTCCCCATTCAACAAAAACAACCTAAAGAGACAAAGAAAATAGTTTGAAGTCTGTGAATAACTCGGCAAAATTTTTTTTCACAATTTCTGCCACCTGCGGCTGAATTACATGTTGACCAATTTCATTCCACCTTCACATACTTAGTGACGGGTACGCATTCTCCAAGGTGGTGAAGCTACAACAAAATCAGATAAACAAAGAAGAATATAAAAAAATGGCCCTCCCTCCCCCCCCCCCAGACAAAAATTGAACATTGGTGGAACTAACAGATAGTGTCATTGGGCAATGTATTTATATGATGTATAATAAAATACAGCAACATAACATACTCATTATTTGTGTATGTTATGTTTTCATTATTTGTGAAATTTTGCCCTCCAGGTAGCAATCGGATATCCTAAAAGGCACCAGCTGCATATCCACTTTGTGGACCCTCCTTACTACTACTACTATTCTTCTGTGTGTGTCGGACAGATGCTTGCATCTCTCTCTCCTTGCATTATCCATGAGTTCCAATAACTAGGTGTTATTCTTGTCAATGACACTGATGGCAAATAATGTAAGATTTGTTTAACAGTTTTCACTATAGTATTTCATATTTGGATGAATATTTTTATGTACCCAACCCATTAACCCCTCTATGAAGTGTGACTGCTTGCTGCTGTGACTCGGTGGAGTTGTATTCCTGTCCACCTGACCCTGTTCCTAGCTCCGGGCTGGTCACAGTTTGATTGGACATTCTTTGGCATCTGTTAGATGTTGTTAGTAGTTTGTTGAATGCCTGGGAAGATGTTGCAGTGGTAAGTGGAGTTGCTACAGATTCATTTGTACTATGTGGAACTAATGGGAATATTTATTGATGTAATTAAGTGCATGTTGGTTTATAGAGAAACTCTTTTAAGTGTTTGCCATAGAATTTCTTGGAATGTGGAATAGCTGTCACATTCTGAAGGTGATAATGCCGTAACATGCCCTTCAATAAGACATTGCATTTTGCAGCAGTACTGAATGGTCTTATGCAAATATACAAGTCTACTATGTTGCCCGTTGGCAAAGGCAAAATGGAAAGCATTTTAAGAATAAAGATTGAAAAAACCTTACCTGTCCCAGGGCAAACCTCGCCTTTATTCTAGAAATGCTTACCTTTTTATTCTTTTCGCGATGGGCAACATTTTACTGTAATGTCATATTAGACGATGGGTTGTATTATGTAGTGTGGTTTTTCTCATTTGAGAGGGTACTAGAGCAGAAATATTTCATAAATGATAGTCGCTATAGTTGCTGTGGATGGGATGACCAAATGAAGTACTGTATTGTTGCATCTGAAACAAGTCCATGGCTTTGTACTTATGGAATTCTAAAGGGGCATAACAAAAAGTGGTACTAACCATAAATCTAGCCAGTCCTTGGCCTAATTTATTACAAATTTGTATTATACTAGGCCTAGGAAGAGTTAGATCTGAATATTGTTTTCTTTCTTGTGCTCGAAAAAAGTATTTGTTCAAAATGTAAAATGTGAATTTTTTTTTTTGGGGGGGGAGGAGGGGGGTTCATGTGGGTTTGTGGTTAGGGTGTTTTAGTTGTGCTGCTTAGAATTTCAATAATACAAAAATGTGGACATTGAGTGCAACAGTATTTTGTACTTTCCATCTATAGTAGCTATAAGTACTACTGAATTATAATTTTTGGAGGATTAGTTGCATGGCGAGACAGTAGGCGAGATTTGCATAAGCTGTTGACTCCAGTCTGGTGTTACTGTGACCGTGGCTTGGGCCACGGTGTCTACAGAGGTCCTTCCTGCTGGACCATCAATACAAGGATTTTTTTTATGGCCCAAGTTCACGTTCAGATTTTGGTGGGCCTTTCCTGTGAGCCAATCAACACTAGGACCCTAAACTAGGCCTCTGTCCTACCAGCTGGAGAACCGACATCATACTGTTCTTAGCAGACCAACAGGTGGGTTGACATGTAAACAAGAGAGAGAGTAAGTGTAAAGCAGAAATTACCCCAAGATGTGTGTATTTCATTTCAAAATACATCAGAGTTACAAACACGAGATATGCTTCATTGACGGCAACCAAGCATTGGGTGCCAACCAGTGTCAGGTAGCTACAGCCATCCATATATCACAACCAACCAGTGTAAGGTAGCTACAGCCATCCATATATCACCACCAACCAGTGTAAGGTAGCTACAGCCATCCATATATCACCACCAACCAGTGTAAGGTAGCTACAGCCATCCATATATCACCACCAACCAGTGTAAGGTAGCTACAGCCATCCATATATCACCACCAACCAGTGTAAGGTAGCTACAGCCATCCATATATCACCACCTACCAGTGTAAGATTGCTACAGCCATCCATATATCACCAACCAGTGTTAAGTTGCTTCAGCCATCCATATATCACCACCTACCAGTGTAAGGTAGCTACAGCCATCCATATATCACCACCAACCAGTGTAAGGTTGCTACAGGTCATCACTGACTACCAGAACCATGCAACAGACAACCGATTGGTTCATAGGTCATAAATTGTATACAGGTCACGACATGCCAGGGGGCAGATTCACTAAGCAGTTACGCAAGTCCTGACAAACGTGTACATCTTTCCTCGATCTTTGACGCTTTTGGTTACATTTATCAAACAGTTTACAAGCATGAAAACGTCCCAATCAACTGTTGTTATAAACAGCCTCCTGGTACTTCAGAGCTCATTAACTGTTTAATAATTGTAAACAAAGCCGTCAAAGATTGAGAAAAGATGTACAGATTCGTAAGTGCTTGCGTAACTGCTTTGTGAATCTGATCCCAGATCTTAATATTGCTGTGCATGTTTACATTTATGTAAATACTCTTGTGTAAATGCATACAAGATATTTTTGTGAACATTAATCTATATAAGATAGAATGTCTCTCCAAAGCAGGAGGTCAGATGCTTGGGGTTAGTCTCGCCCAACTTTGTAAGATGACATATGGGGGGTATGCGGGTATCATAGTCCACATAGGATAGGCCACACTGCTACCCATTTAAAAATGTTGGCATTTATAGTAACACCCATGCTATTTTCATGGTCTGAAATTGGGAATATTTTTTTTCCATAGTTAGCACTTTTTTCAGTGCTTCATAATATTAAATTATGAGAGGGGGGGGGGGGGGGGGAGACCTGAGTACCTCATTTGGTACCATATATACTACCCCCAGTATATAAAACATATACAACCCCCAGTATATATAACCCCAGTATATATCTTGAGATGATTTCGGTGCTTGGCGTCCCCGCGGCTCGGTTCTCGACCAGGTCTCCTTTTTGTTACACACTCCCAGGAAGCAGCCCGTAGCAGCTGTCTTAACTCCCAGGTACCTATTTACTGCTAGGTGACAGGGGCATCAGGGTGAAAGAAACTCTGCCCCATTTGTTTCCGCCTCCGCCGGGGATTGAACCCGGAACCTCAGGACTACGAATTTGAAGCGCCGTCCACTCAGCTGTCAGGCCCCATAACTGATATACAACCCTCCCGTATATATAACTGATATACAACCCTCCCGTATATATAACTGATATACTACCCCCAGTGTATATAACTGATATACTACCCCCCCCAGTATATATAACTGATATACTATCATGCAAGATCTATTGTACTGTATTGCTTTTCAACATATAGCCAGGGTCGTGGTATAAAATAATTATTTATTGTTTACCACAAACACACTACAGTTCATTTCATTCACAGAGAAGTGACTTTCTGATTAAATTAATTCTGACTATACTAGTTTATTTCCAGTACTTCATTCTTGGTGAACCAGATACTTTTGATATCGTTTGCCTTGTGCATTTCTGTTCTCATATTGGCATCCTTAGTGGTATTTAGTGCCCTCTGATTATTCCACACATTTGATGGTGCTACATAGCCTTCCTGGCTTGGTGCCCTTTTTTTTGTTAATTAATTACTTCCAGTACTCCAGATTAGCACCTTTTTCATGTACAGTATAAGGAAATAAAAAAGTATTAATACACGTTACCTCCATTTATTTCCAATGGGTTATTATATTTTTGTAGATCCACATATTACATGATACGTGAGAGTTGCTACATGATCACAGTGGCTAGACTAACATTTGACATAACTACCATTCACATGACATCACAAGTCGTCGTCTGTGGTCACCGTTGGCTGGGAGTAAAACGGTGAATTTGTTGGAGCATTCTCTCGGCCTTCCCCTGTAGCAGCGAAGTCGGTGCAAGATTCACTTCAAGGGCTAGAACCAAGTTATTTGATGTGTCTAGTGGGCACCATGTCCCTGTCATTTTGTGTCATTTTGTAGGCACTATGTCCCAGCAAGTTGTTTTGATGGCACCATGTCCCTGTGAAATTTTTTGTAGGATCCACATATATTAGTAATGCATTGTCTTCTGGAAATTGTGTGTGTATTTGTGGTGGGCACTAAGACACCACAAAAACTGTCTGGGTGAGCACTAAGGAGACACAAGTGTCATTTGGTGGGAATTGATACAATGTCATATAGTGGGTATTAGGGTAGAGCACATGTTATCTGTGGGTACTAGGGCGTTATGAGTGGTGGACACAAAGTGACCAAGTTTTGTTGGGTGGTGCTATAAGTGTCATCAGCAAAGATAATGTCATTGCAAGTCATCTGGTGGGTACTAGGGTACCATGAGTGTTGTATGATGTGTACAGGGGACAGTGAATGTTGGTTTGTGGGGCAATATTGCACAGTGAGTAGCATTTAATGGCCACTATGGTACAGTAAGGGATGTCTCGCAGGTGGTGTCCTTATCACACCCACCCATGCAGGCATTACCGTTGGCCAGAGGCTTGAAGAAGGTTAGAACACAATCATTTTTGTTCTCTGGAGTTGTGACATGGTCAGTTGTTTTGACCTGAAGGTGCTCGTGTCTTGTAGCATTGCGCATTGTAAAGGGAGAGTAGGATGTCTGTTCTGGCAGTGTGCTGCGGCGATTCTCACGAAGGAATCTGGAGAGCCTCTCCAAACTGCCCTGTGATCCACCCCAGCCTGACCCTCGTCTCAGCAATGACTGAGAGATTCGCACTGACAGGATGGCTTCCAGTGTTCGCAGTACATGAGGTGATGAAGAGTTGAGACTGGCACTTCGGGCAGGACGCTCAAAGGCTTTGCATAATAATGGTGTCTGACAGTCTGCTTGATTTTTACTCTCATACTGACTCTGAGCGACTGGTTTGGAGGGTGTTGTGCAGCTGACAAGAACTAATTCAAGTGACTTTGATCTGTTGCTTACATGTTCAGGGGTATTAAATACCTCCAGGGCAACATCTTGTAATTTAGATGTAGACACCCTACAGGACGGGATATCGGGGGAGGGAGACCCTGTTAAGTTTTCTTCCTCGGTACGAGCCTCCTTGACTGAACAACTAATATCAGAGTCTAAAGAAGAGATGGACAGACGTACTCGCTGCTGCCCCAGATAGTAGGAGCGTGCTGCCTCGAATGTGGGCACAGTGAGAAAGTTGGAGACACTGGCAGGGGAATGGGAGCCTGTAGGTGAGGTCTCGGTAGGAACCTTGGGGTTGTCCACAGGTTGTCGCAACCGAGTGGGTGAGGGGGTTCCATCCTCCAGGGGATGCCATGACATGTCTGATGACCTCCTTACTAGCTTGGGCTGGCTTGCCTGATCCTGTAGAAAGTAGTCGGACATGCGGCGCTGCAGCGATTTTTGTAGCATTGGCATTGCCAGCGTGGACGATATGGAAGGGCGGCGGGAGTTGGCTGCCGAGGGAATACGAGCTTGAATCTCATGCTTGACCTCTGTTTTGTAAAGCTTTTTCCTGAGATAATTTCTAAATGCTTTTCGGATATTCTTACATTTAATTCCATATATAAAAGAATTCACAAGAGGAGAGATAAGTAGTAATGTTGTTCCCAAAAGAACCCAATATTGATTTGCTCGTCTACCATGGAGGGACTCCCAGATCACCGTTCCAAAAAAGGGATAATAACAAAATACAAATGCCACTATTTGTTCTAATACTGTCCACACTGACTTTCTTTTCTTTTTAGGAATATCAAATGGATTCTTTTGGTGTGTGACAGTTGCCTGTGCTGACATCATGACTTCAAATATAGCCGAGAAGATGCGATGTTGGTGATGACGTGCAATCATGATGATTCTGCTGTTGACAATGAGGATGATTGTGAAAGGAAGAATGATACAGAATGTAGCCAAGGTCCAGGTGTAGGTGGTGGCACTGGCACGATGCCACACAGGAAGGCACACGCCTTGAGAGAAAGTGTAGGAATAGGTTGTCACCAGAGGTGGTGAGGCAAGGGCCACACTCAATAGCCATGCAAGACATGAGAATGCTGCCACTCTGTGTCGTGTTACTATCTGGTTATAACGTAGGGGAGTGGAGATGGCGCAGTACTTGTCACAGTGAAGGCCTACCACTACCCACACTGCCACTGTGTGCAGCACTATCAACAGAAATCCATACAGACGACACAGGGCGTCACTCTCCCAGATGTCTGGGTCCCTTGACGCAGCGGCAGTGTCATTGAGCAGCGCAGTGACATTGATGCTGTGAGTAGAATTAGTCAGGTCCTGCAATGTGACCCATGAGAATGCAGGTTGGGGAGGGAGTGGCCTCACGGTGAAATTGTTAGTAGCATTGTAAAGGTCCCATGGATCCTTCATGTAGGGTGAAGTAGGTGTGGACGGCACTTCTCGCAATCGCAGATCTTCGTGTAGAAGCCACCGACCCTGCATAGGATTTGAAAGGTATTTAATTGCTTACACAAGCCAAATCATTAAACTACTGTACGGTTTAATGATAATACTATATATTCTTATGAACTGAAAAATGTGACGTGGGAAGAGACAGCACAATCTGGTAAAGTGGGAAAATCTTACAAACAAATATTTCTTAAAAATTAATACAAATATTTAAAATTACCAAATCGTAAGATACTTGGTTCAGTAATTATGTTAATGTTAAGCCCAGTACCAAACAGGTATCAAGCAGTTCAACATAATTTTCTGTTATTATTTAGTCAAATACCCCCTCGAGTTTTGCCTCAGCCACCTGTCCTGCCTCTTTTTGGCCATTGTATATGCAAAATGAAACTCGTGTAGGGATCCTGTTTAGGTCAACAGACCACCCTCTGGATGGGTCACTCATTAGGGGTTGCTCTTGGAGTTGGTTGGGTGTCCAGGCTGGAACGAGAGGGAGAAAAAGATTTTTGCACTAATGTAGAAGAATGTTCAATGCAGTAGGACTCCTCTGTTAAAAATGGAGAGGCACCGCTTTGGACAACGCATCTCCCTTCCTGCACTGGCCAGCACTCAGCCTTCCTTGCTGCCCAGGTAAGTGGTATTCCTTGGATCCAGGGCCAAAACTTTTAAAAACAATGATATATGATAAACAAAAAGACTTTCTCAAACACAGGCTTGTGGGGTGGGTGACCAGGACCCCCTTCCCCCCCACCTTGTCACCTCGAGTGGCTCCATCTTTCATTGTGACAACTGCGCCTCTTGCACCACCTCACCTTAAGGGGGGGATCAAAGTCATTCTGCCTCTCTTTTGATCCTTCTTCATCTTCATTTTCTATACCATACTGGGTTAAGCCTCAGCTCCGATCCCACCATAATCGGTGGGAAATGGCCCTAGCTAGGTTATGTATTGGCCATACATGCTTAACTCATGGGTACTTAGTGGAGCTCCACCCATCTCCTTATTGTCCAAACTGCATTGTCCCATTTAGTCGTGCACCTCCTTGTAGAATGTCCCTCATGGTCATACATGCATTAATAGAATCCTTGGTGAATTTGATACCTTCAATATTACTTGCCATGTGTGCTTTTTGTTCAAGTATTGGCATCCTAAGTCCTTTTAAATATCACCTTTAGAATATCTTGTGACACCGATGGTGCTACATAGTCTACCTGGTCTGGTGCCTCCTTTTGATAATTGACTGTACTGTAGTTGTATGAAGGTGGAAATGATAGCGGCTCACCTGTATGAAGGAGGGAGTTGAGAAGACGATGAAGAGGAGAGAGAGGAGGGCACTGGCAACCATAAGCTGTAGATGCAGGAGGCTGGTGCTGTTCTTGTACTGCAAGATAAAAAACCACTCTGTAAACCTTCTCTACACATGCAAGTTAGGTCAAGATGAAAGTCTGTGAATCCTCCTCATTGTAATTTTAATCTGGGTTTTAGATTTTTATTTTATTTTACTTTTTCAAATAAGATTATAGAGATAGAAATCAATTAACCATAAGAAATAGTTAACGAGTTCAGTTAAAATGTTACTACTGTATATTCACGATACATAAACCCGTTACCCAGTCCATTGGCAGTATTGAGAAATTCAGAGCTTAAAAAATCCTTAACACAAAATTACAAAATACTGGCAACTCTTTATATTGGTTCTGCATTAATAAAATTGAAGGAATGCATCTTTGTCATTAATTGGCTGACAGCTGCTGTAGACACTTGAGAGTTTAGTAGTAGGACAAATTGGTCAGGTTGAAACAACAGTAATGTAAATTTTTCTGTACATCATCTAATTAAACTTGTTCCTTAAAAAAAAAAAATAAAAGCACTATTACAGTTTAAAGTTTGTAAAACATTTAGATATTGTAATTTTAATATTCAAATTTTGTTTGCCTGCATGTCGTGCCCCCACACATGCACAGTAGGATGGTGTCCAGCTCAGACTGTGGAGCTTCATGTCCCGTCCACCTCGTGTCTGGCGGCGTGAGGTTGAGGAGGCAGGTTGGACAGCATAGATTATCCATCAGGAAGTTGTTTGTGGCTTTTGAAGCTTTGTTTCTGCCTCAAGGTGAAGAGTAAGACAAAATACTAATGAAGGTCAACTAATGTGTTCGTCATACATGGAAATTTCTGCATTTGTTCTGCAATTTCTGTTCTTTGTTTCCTTTCAATTGAGAGTTGAGTATGTGTGGGAAGCTGGTATTTCTAGGGAATGACAATACTACTTTGATAGAGGATAAGGATGAAATAGAAAATTCAGTGCGGATCAGTTGGATTGGTTGGCTGGTCTAAATATATTCTGTTGTCAATTTGGATATCTTTATTGTGCCCACACACACTCATTTGTTATTTGTTCTTAGATATGCATTTTGAACAATACATACTTTCCTTGTACCTTTGGCTTGAATAGTGCTATATAGCCATCTTGATTTAGCTTCACCCTGTGATAAATAATTCATCCCAATTAGTTTAAGAATGACCTGCTTATTGGTCAGCATCGCTGACAACTCTTCACCCATCTTTATGATTCATTTTGTGAGGAGCTTGGCTTAACACAGAGGTGCTGCCATACACTCTTCTTTGATTCAAATATTTTATGCTGAAGCCAGTGTGTTGTCTTTACAAGATAGACATAACTGGTATTGTCTTCAGTATAGTACTGATAAGGTTACTGCAATGACCTCACTAATGTTTATATTGAATTTTAACCATCGTCAAGGTTTCAACTCTAAAGGGTTGTAAATAATGCTTTAGTCAGATTTTTACTTAAATCTCTTTTAAATCTTTGAAATATTCTGCTTTGAAAAGTCTCAATAAGAAGATTCTGTAAAGCCTTGGCTTGTAAAGTTGAATCCTCTATTACTACTATAACTTTATAAAACTTCTCTAGGAACATTTTAAAACACATTGCCAATTATAGCAACCCAATATGTATGGTATAGTTTATAATAACACTCCAATTCCCATGCAAACTCCCTTATTCTACTAATAATAGCTTTGATATTATTAATTGAAGAGAGTTTGCATATGAACTGGAGTGTTACTATCGAGAGGTACATAGTATTGGGCTGTTATGATAGTGGGATCTAAACCCGGACCACCCGGTGAAGAGTAGAGGTGCCATATGCACAATTAGTGAACTTTCCCCCCCTCCCCATCACCGATGAAACAAATCAATGATCATCAGCATAATAAAAAAAATCATCAAATCAAATCAAATCAAGAAACAAATCAAATCATCAGCATAATCCATCTGCCCCTTGTTGAGATGGGAGGAGGGGGATAGACACGTTACTTAAGCACTGCCATGTGGATATTTAGTATATTCTTTGAGTTCTAGAGTTATCCGATCTTCACCATTCACTGGGGACCCCTCATGGTCATTCTTGTCATCCCCGTAAGGTGATCTAGATAACTTTTGATAGTCAGACCCTTCCCAACTTTGGTAATTCTTGCTGGTGCCAGATGCTCCATTCAGGAAAATCTCTCTCTCCACGCCCCTGCAACAGGTGTTGAAATTCAGGCACTGATCCTCGAAATGTAGTAGCAAGGTGTCTCTCTTGCCCCTTATGTGGTTACTTTGAATCATTCTAGGCTGGAATGTGTTTTTCCCTATGCTTATTGTATCACCTGAGATGATTGATGCCTACCCTATTTTTTTCAGTTTCTACATTGCTCCTCCTTCCATCTCGGTAGCTGAGCATCTGTTCTCGCTATGGGAGTTCCCATTGCCCTTGTTCCTGCCTCTGATTCTGCCCCTGCGCAGGTCACTCCAGACCGACAACCAGTGCGTAACTCCATAGTCTCCTGAGACTGATGGATGCCTACTACTACATTATAAATTTAAATGAGCCATCCTCCACCTTAAATACCAAAATTGCATATCTTTCCCGGTGGCAGGTCATCAGGTCTGCCTTCTTTCCTAATTTTCTGGCCTGACCAATCCCGGTGCATTACGTCGCCCTCCTCTACCCAATGCTCTTCAGGTCTACGACAGTTACCAAGCTTTAAACCCCGACACCATCACAAGCCTTCTTAGTTTCCCCGCCTTCCTACAGTCTCGGACCATGGGTCTTCCAATGGTGTCATTCCATCTTTGTCACCCGCTCTCGTTCTCACTCCCAGCCTGAAAACATCGGCTATCTCACAGTACTTTGATGCTATTATAATACCTGCCTTTCTCAGAAACTTAAGTCTGATCCCTCTCCCTCCCCAGTGGGTAAAAAGGCATTAGCCTTTTTACCGCCTCACTCCTCTGTTCTTGTTCTTGCTCCTTCCATGAGCATCTGTTCTTGGTATGGGAGTTCTCATTGCCCTTGTTCCTGCCTCTGATGCTGCCCCTGGAAAATGCCATTGTTGCTGTCCCTCCTCAGCCTGACTCCCTTAGCTGCCCCCTTCCTCACCGGACCTTGTCGACTCTCCACAGTCGACACAGCCCCCTCATCCAACCCATCTCTGCTCACTTTACTCTGCACCAACCCTAATGTGTCTGATCCTGGTCTTACTGTGCCTTGTATCTTTTGTTTTCTTACAGTTGTTCTGTCCCACTTACAGTTGTGCACCTCATTATACAATGTCCCAATTTTCATATGTCTTGCTTTCCTAATGTTCCCTGGGATCATTTGTCCCTTGTTAGACACCCTGGCTAGTCCGATGATGTCTGATATCTCTTGCCTTGTATCCTTTTGTTCTCATGTAACCATCTTGAGTGATATTTAATGCTTGTTGCATATCCAGCGACGTAGACAGTGCTACACAGTCTTCTCGGCTTGGTACCTTCTCTTGATAATAACTTGACCAAGTGGAAGTCCTCTGACAGCAGATGTTTAACCACCTGTAAGACCCACCTGCTTGCTGGTAAGGATGATGAAGAAAATGAAGGCACTGGAGACGAAGGCGAGCACCAGTGCAGCGGTGAGCACCATGCCCAGCACCACAACCACCACCATCAGCATGGCTACCGGCCCGCCTACGTGCCACCACCACCACGCCAGATCACCATGCTCGGCCCTCCATGCTTGGCCAGCTGGTGCCCCTCACCACCCGGGGCCCATGACACGCCAGTAGTGGCTCCGCTGCCTCACACTCAACTACCAGCGTCCAGAAGCACCATCATCCCACCTGTTGAAGCATCATTTGTCTTAGACAATGTTAGGCTAAGACATGATAGTATAGTATGAATGTTAGCAGTAATACAAACAGCAACAATGATGATATAATAATAAGTATCAGCAGTAAGATTAGTCAGAATAACCTTTAGGTTTATTGTACTATTTATTTACAAATGCATATTTAGGATTAATTACACACAAGTAAGGTGCTCTAGTGATTAAGGGAGTTATTGTGAGGGGTGAGACCTCAGAATGGTGTGATGTCACCAGCGGAGTCCTGCAGGGTTCTGTACTGGAACCTATCCTGTTTCTGATACAAGTAAGTGATCTAGATGGTATAGACTCATTCCTCACAATGTTTGCTGATGCTAAAATTATGAGGAGGAGTAAGACAGGTGGACAGTAAGAGACTACCAGATGACTCGGACCGTCTTGAGGTTATCTTGAGATGATTTCGGGCCTTTAGTGTCCCCCGCGGCCCGGTCCTCGACCAGGCCTCCACCCCCAGGAAGCAGCCCGTGACAGCTGACTAACACCCAGGTACCTATTTTACTGCTAGGTAACAGGGGCATAGGGTGAAAAAAACTCTGCCCATTGTTTCTCGCCGGCGCCCGGGATCGAACCCGGGACCACAGGATCACAAGTCCAGCGTGCTGTCCACTTGGCCGATCGGCTCCCTGCGTGATATTAACCCCCAGATCTTTCAGACCGACTGAAGGAATAGTCTAAAAAATGGCTACTAGAGCTTAACTATCAAATGTAATGAAAATGGGTGTGTAGGGAGCAGGAGGCTAAACATAAGGTATCAATTGGGAGATGAAATTCTTGAGGAATCAGGAAGAGAAAGATCTGGGGGTTAATATCACGCAGGACCTGTCCCCAAAAGTCCACATCAAACGGATATCATCAGCAGGATATGAGAGGCTGGTAAACAAGAACCTCCTTTAGAAACTTGTAAGGAATCATTTATAACCTTGTATATCTTGTATGTAAGACCATTTCTGGAGCATGTAGCTCTAGCGTGGAGTCCATATCTAGTCAAACACAATACGAAGTTAGAAAATGTTCAGAGGTATGCCTCGAGACTAGTTCCTGAGCTGAGAGGTATGAGCTATGAAGAAAGCCTACTGGAAGACAGAAGCGTTAGGAGATATATGATTTCCACTTACAGAATTCTCAGTAGAATTGACTGGGTGGATAAAGAAACTATTTAGCACTGGTGGTACATGGACAAGGGAACACAGGTGGAAGTGTAGTACCCAAATGAGCCAGAGAGACATTAGAAAGAATTTTGCAGTGTCGGTAGTTATCAAATGGAATGCATTAGGAAGTGATGTGGTGGAGGTATTCTCCATATACAGTTTCAAATGCAAATATGATAGAGCCCAATAGGTTCGGGAATCTGTAAACCAGTTGATTGATAGTCGAGAGGTGGGACCAAAGAGCCGAAGCTCAACTCTCGCAAGCACAGCTAGGCAGGTACACACCCTGCAGGTAATTTGCATACTACATTGTTACCAGCTGTGATAGAACCAGCCAGACACAATGGATTGTAATATGGTAGTGAAAAAGATTCTCCTGGCAACGTCCCCGTCAGTATACAATGAAGTCAAAGTAACGTGATATATCTATGAGGAAAAGCTTTGGATCAGATCGGGGATCGAACCAGCGTCCATGGTCACCCCACAGATGTTCGCCTTAAGTCCATGGACCAGGACATGCCCAGCGCTACACAATCTGGGATCCGCCATAACACCAATTCCTCTCAGTTATTCAGAAGTATTGGAGGGGGTAGGACTCGCCACAAACTATAGGAACGTGTTGGAGGGGGTAGGACTCGCCACAAACTATAGGAACGTGTTGGAGGGGGTAGGACTCACAACAAACTATAGGAACGTGTTGGAGGGGGTGGGACTCACAACAAACTATAGGAACGTGTTGGAGGGGGTAGGACTCACAACAAACTATAGGAACGTGTTGGAGGGGGTAGGACTCACAACAAACTATAGGAACGTGTTGGAGGGGGTAGGACTCACAACAAACTATAGGAACGTGTTGGAGGGGGTAGGACTCACAACAAACTATAGGAACGTGTGGCGGAATGCTAAAACTCACAGAAACGTGACGAGTTGGTCAATAATAGCAGCTCGTCTTTCACCTGCTGTACGACAATGTACATATACAAGACGCAGCAACTCACAAGAGTATACGAAGTTTAAAAGATTTTATGTTATGATCTTCCCTCGGCAGCGAGTGATTCCCCAATGAGAAGCGTGACCAGCATTATGGGGTTACCTCGAGGGCTGAATCCAACTGTTATAATGACGTTTAAAAAAGGTAGATTACAGGTAATGGGTTGAGACAGGAGATCCGGGAGGGAAGCTGGGATGGACCTCCGCCCACGACGACAGCTGGACGCCCACTGCTTGAATGCACCAATCAGCAGCAGCAAGGGTGACCCCGTCGTGACGTGGGCGCTGGTGCCGCTAGTTCCTCCTTGCTCAGGGAAGCTTTTTAATGAAACCAGCATAGAGGTTAATGACCAGGCTGTGGCACCACCGCCTGTCTATCTCGAGACGGATCTTGAAATCTCTTGTAGATGGGTTAATGATATTTGCAAAGTATCTTTGTTAGATTTATTGAATATCCGTCTGGGCAAACTAGGTATAACAATCCGGTATAACAATGTCGTTCGTGAGAGCTAGTCACACTTTAACGAGGCAGTCAATAGTGACAGAACTCTATACGTTACGATATGGGTCACCTCTTGCACGTTACAAACCTCGCGTCTCCTTTGCTCACGCGATCTCGATAGAATTCTTGGTGACTCGGATACTTTTGATATCGTTTGCCTTATGCGTTTCTATTCTCGTATTGGCATCCTTGGTGATATCTAGCGCCCTCTGATTATCCTGCACATTTGATGGTGCTACATAGCCTTCCCGGCTTGGTGCCTTCTTTTGATAATTACTTACTTTGCTCACGCAATACGCGGGTACGTGAGAGTAAATATATTATTTAACCCTGAAGGGTCAACCTCCAGACTGAAAGACGTACCGCTGCATAATATGTCATCCCTTACCTTGATATTAACCTTTACTGAGACTAAATCGTTGACAGGTCAATTAATATACGGAAATGATCTCCCAGAAGGTATAGACTTATTCTTCTTAATATTTACTGACGACGATGAATTATGAGAAGGATCAAGACAGGAGGACAGAATGAGGCTTCAAGAAGACCTGGATAAACTGAAGGAATGGTCCAACAAATGGCTATTAGTGTTTAGCCCCAGAAAATGCAAAGTAATGAAGTTAGGTGTAGGGAGCAGGAGGCCAGATACAAGGTATCATTTGGGAGATGAAATCCTTCAAGACTCCAAGAAGAATGACCTGCCGGTTGATATCACGCCAGACCTGTCCCCTGAAGCCCACATCAAGAGGATATTATTAGCGGCATATGCCAGGTTGACCAACATACGAACCTTCTTTAGAAACTTGTGTAAAGAATCATATAAAACCTTATATACTATATATCTCAGCTCAATCCTAGAGTATGCATCTCTAGCGTGGAGTCCGTATCTAGTCAAGCACACCACTAAATTGGAGAAGGTTCAAAGGTATGCCACCAGACTGGTACCCGAGCTGAGGGGTATGAGCTACGAAGACACACTACGGGAATTGAACCTCACGTCACTGGAAGAGAAGAGCTAGATGAGACATGATCGCCACATACAAGATCATCAGAGGAATTGATAGAGACAGTTTATTTAACACAGGTGATACACGCACAAGGGGACAGGTGGAAACCGAGTACCCAGATGAGCCACAGAGACATTAAAAAGAACTTTTTCAGTGTCAGAGTAGTTAACAAATGACGCGCATTAGGCAGTGATGTGGTGGAGGCTGACTCCATACACAGTTTCAAGTGTAGATATAATAGAGCCCAATAGGCTCAGGAACTTGTACACCAGTTGATTTGGCAACCCGTTCTCGCAAATTCGTAAAGTCAATATTGACTTATTAACTACGTGCATAGGTGATATACTAAACATAATAGATACCCTTAAAAAGATTCATAGAAAACACCGACCTTACCTAACCTTGTTAGTATCTTAAGATAAGCATCTTATTGCTTCGTAATTACAATTATTACTTAACCTATACCTATTATAGGTTAGGTAATAATTGTAATTACGAAGCAATAAGATGCTTATCTTAAGATACTAACAAGGTTAGGTAAGGTCGGTGTTTTCTATGAATCTTTTTAAGGGTATCTATTATGTTTAGTATATCACCTATGCATTTGACGGTTAAGAGGCGGGACCAAAGAGTCGAAGCTCAACCCCTGCAAGCACAATTGCGGGGGTTGAGTAATTACCATACTAGGTTCGGCTATCACTCGGTGGCTACCTAACGCACACGCATTCTCAGGCTCGAACCCGAGTTGTTCTCGCTTACGAAAACATTGTTGATGTGGCCGTCAGCCCAGCCACATCAACAATGGCAGCCCTGCCACATCAACAATGGCAGCCCTGCCACATCAACAATGGCAGCCCTGCCACATCAACAATGGCAGCCCTGCCACATCAACAATGGCAGCCCTGCCACATCAACAATGGCAGCCCTGCCACATCAACAATGGCAGCCCTGCCACATCAACAATGGCAGCCCTGCCACATCAACAATGGCAGCCCTGCCACATCAACAATGGCAGCCCTGCCACATCAACAATGGCAGCCCTGCCACATCAACAATGGCAGCCCTGCCACATCAACAATGGCAGCCCAGCCACATCAACAATGGCAGCCCTGCCACATCAACAATGGCAGCCCTGCCACATCAACAATGGCAGCCCTGCCACATCAACAATGGCAGCCCTACCACATCAACAATGGCAGCCCAGCCACATCAACAATGGCAGCCCAGCCACATCAACAATGGCAGCCCTGCCACATCAACAATGGCAGCCCTGCCACATCAACAATGGCAGCCCTGCCACATCAACAAT